ATCTCAAAACAATACAATGCCTTTATCAATATATTTCAATTTAAGAAAATACACTTTTATATCAAAAAATAGGGTAGTAAATACAAAACACTGAGAATCTCTAGGTACGTGTATGCTAGTAGGCTATACAAGCACTACCAAAGCTATTTTATCGGTACTAACCGGAATGATCGACACCTAACCGTGCAGGTTTCTGGAATTTCACCAAGGACACATATGCCAACAATATAAACCACAACCACACCCCCTAACCAGATTCACCAAGGTATACGCTCATTTTTCTAAAAAATAATACATTTTCAATGTTGAAGTATGAAGGAATGCTTGATGCAAGATGTATGAGAAATTAGTTTCAATTTAACCTAATCCTCATATAATTTCTACAACAATCAAAGCTATCCTCCACCAATAGCTCAAAACAAGTATTTCTACTCAACATATAATTTTTTCAATAATAGATAAAATCTAAAAATTTCAAAATAGAAGTGATAATAAATACCCAACTCCACTCTCATCATCAACAGATATCCTTTTCCATATCCTTTCAAAATCCAACACTATTTCCTTTTCTTTATAAACCAACATCAATGATTTTTCAACAAAACCTTCTTTATTTTCAAAATCACATTTGAAGAAAGAATTTCCAACACAATCTAACATTATACACACATCCACAATTCTTCTTATGAATTTATTTGAAAAATCCCTCTTTTACTTTTCAATATCAAACCCTAGGTTTAACCCAAAACTCTCAAATCACTAAACATTTTTCAAAGTGCAAATAACTAAGCTAAGAATCATACGAAAGGTGGAAGAAATCCCTACCTCAAGTCTAAAAGATGAAAAAAACAATGGTTGAAGTTTGATGGAACCAAAAACAAGATTTTCTTTGATTAGAATGAAACTTTCGACGAGCTCTACCTTTTTTTCCAAAGAGCTATGGTGAAGAAATCAATGGGTGAGGGTATATTTGGGGTTTTAAGGCAAGAATTAGAGAGTAAGAGTGAAGAAATTAAGGTTTGAGAGGTTTTAAACAGAGAGAAATAAAAAAGTGATTAAAAATCTATTTTCTCGAACTGATATACGCGCAAACCGCTCGAGCGACCAAAACATCGCTCAAGCGCAAGAGACAATAAGTGACACTGCTCAAGCGCACAATGACCATATCTCAGAAGTTTTGCAAATTAAAGAAGACTATTTGAGCGCAAGAGATACTGCTCAAGCAAAGATACCATACTTTCATAACTTTTGTAGACTTGTAAAATACTAGGAGATCTCAAAGACCGCTCGAGTGAACAAGTAGAAAACAGAAACATTAGCTCTTTTAAAAAATTAACTCCCAACTTATTTCAAACACGACCAACAACTCAACTCGACTACTAACAAAACGACAAAGGCTATGAACAACAATTAAAAGTACTGAATCCCGGATCTAAGAGTATTAAATGGGTCGGATCTAAACCAAAACCGTTATATTATTCTTTCTTTTTTTGGACAATATTCTGGACATTTTGGTGAATCTCCAACGATATTCTTTATGTCCAGCGAATATTCTGGACATTCTGACGACTTCTAGTGACGTTCAAAACATTTCAGCGATACTACAACAAACTTCTGACGACTTCGCGATGATGTTGAACATTTCGACGAGTCTCCGATGAGTGTCTGATGGAAGTCTAGCGATGATGGGATGTAGAAGAGATTTTAAATTTATAAAAAAATGATATTTTTGGTAACAATTAAAAATATGTAAGATTAATTGGTGCAAGTGTTTTGTTTTGGGATTAAATGAGTTTTGAACTTTGTATATGTGCTTTATTGGTTAGTGTCCCTTCCTAAAATTACATGGGGTAATCTATATATTGAGGAATGTTAGAGACTCAAAATTTAGATTCCTAAATTTATTCATAATGATGTGGTAAAGGAATTAGGTCCTGCATAATTAAATATGTGACAAATTAAAAGTTAATACCTAACATGTCATATTATGAGTCAAATTAAGGAATATTTTTTTAAATTTATATTTTGGACAAACCTTGGGGTGTAGGTAATTTGCCCATAAATAAATTACGTATCCTCTTGTTATAAGAAATTTCCTAATGCGCACGCCGCCAACACGAGACCTAACCCAAGTCAAATTCCAAAGTTTCCAAATTTTGAGAGAGTCAAACCGTGTCTTTAAACCTGTCTATATATACGCTATACCCTCAATTGCTCCAAGCATTATACACACATCAAACAAACCAGCCAACCCTCTCTGTTTTCTTCAAGAACCTCTCATCAAATCAAACTCTCCTCTCAATCTCTCATGGCGGTTTCACCTTTTCCATCTTTGATCAAATCACATTCCCATGTACCCATTTTGCATCATAGATTCGCCGTCGTAGAGAGAAAACAAAGCCATGTTATATCAGCAACAGCAACAACAATAGCAGTCAAACCAAGCACAACTCAAAGGCCCAATCAACTTCTCCAACTAATCAACCCTATAGTCACAAAAAATCAAGTTTTGTTCAAAGATCAACACACGAAAGAGATGAACTATGAATGCGAAGGATTGGGTAATAAAGAAGTTAGGATGGTGATGGAGAGGTTGGAGAGAGTTGCAGAGAGGATGAGAGAGATAGAGTTGGAGAAGATGAAGGGTAGATTGAGAGGAAACATGTCTTGTGAAGATGGCATGGTGATGGAGATGATGAGTAGAGAGATTGTGAGCAGCTTTTTGGAGAAACCTATTCAATACTTGAAAAGTTGTGATGGAAAGTTGGATGATAGATTGAAGGATTTTAAATTTTTTGTGGGTATTCTTGAACAATCATGCTTCACAAACGAGAAGATTAATACCCATGTGTAGAATTTTTATTTTGTTTTTTGTTTTGTATTCTTTTGTAAATTAGATATTGTTTCAAACTAACATTGGAAATCAATTATTGAGGTTAAGTTTGGATTTTACACGAATTCTTAATGGAGAATGATATCTTGATTTTGAAGTTTTTATACTATTGTTTGGGGTAAAAAAAAAAAAAAAGGATTTGTGGTTACTATGCCTTAAAAGAAATTACATTTGTGAGTATTTTGATTTAAAGTGAATGATTTAGATTGAGTCATGTCATTTAGTCTATTATCTAAATTAGAGGATATTGTTTGAATTTATGGGGTTTATCATGAATCTTATTTTGATGTTTGAAATTGAGTAATATTAAAGATTATGAAAAAAATATTACGAAGATGATCATGAAAGGTTCTTCATTCTTGAATTACAAATACAATAAAACACCATACAATAATTAAAGAATGAAAAATTTTCATGAAACATTTCATGATATTATTTTCATGATTCATAATATTATTCGTTTGAATTTATTCATTTTGTAAAAGTCTTTGTGTTTATTGTTGTTGAAAAAATTTAAGTTGATCTGATAATTGTAATTTTTTTTATTTTATTGTGTTTTTTTTTTTTTTGAAGACAAACACAATAAAATGAAAAAAGTTATAATTATCACATTGATTTAATTTTTTTTTCATAAATGATATACATGAAAAGTCTTACAAAATAAATTACTTATATCATCGAAACAGGACTATGGGATCTACGAGCCCAAACAACTCCTCCAGTCGGGATGAGGACATGAGGCAATCTTTTTTAGTTTTTTCAAAATAAACACAATAATATAAAAAATATTACGATTATTATATCGATCTAATTTTTTTTTAGATAAAATAAACGAAACGTTCTACAAATGGGTCATTTAGGAACATGAGTTAAAAGTCAAAAATCAAGCTGTGTTTGGTTGTGTTCTCAAATCATGATTATGTACCTTGATTCAAGTATGGTGTTTGGTAAGAGTTTTGGAATTACGTTTTCAAAACTCTGCAGAGAGCTTTGTCTCAGCCGCGCTTTTAAAAAAAAAAATTTGAAAATTTTGCCTGACCGGTCGTCCGGTCGGTTGACCGAAATAGTGATTTTTTTTTTGCAATTTATATGCTAATTTTTATATAATCGAAAAAAACATTTTCTGAAATTTTTAAAATTTTTTATGTGCTTTAAAATAATTTTGAGTTGTATGTTTAGTTATAAGTTGTAAATTTTTGTATCAAATATCAAATGTCACATCAATAATTTTTTACTCAAATCAAAACTCTTTTCAAAACTATTTTCAAAACTCTTTACCAAACAAATTTTCTACACTCAAATCATAATTTCAAACCCCACAAACTCAAAATACAATTCATACTCTCAAATCATAATTACAAAACTCTACCAAACGCAACCTCAATTTTTAACCAATTTTGAGTCACATCACCTTTCAAATAAAATAGTAAAAAAAAGCTAAAAAAATAAAAAAGCCAACTTTTAATCATCTTTTTAAAACACCCCAAAATAAATGATTTTATTGTGTTTATAATAAATTTATTAATAAATTAAATTATTATATTTTTTTCTCCACAAAAGTATGTATCATAAAAGAATAATGTTAGGGATATCAAAATTTCTACCAAATGCTTTACTAAGTAGGTGTTTGGCATGCATTAAAAAAGTATATTTTTTTTTTGCATACATACACTTATTTGGATCACATCAATCAATATTTATCAGCATTTCCTCTCTATTTTTCTACTCACTTTCTCTACTTTTCTACATTTTTTTTTATAAAAAGTCAAAAAATACACTTATTTAGAACATTCCAAACCACCCCTAAATGTCTCACATAAGGTAGGATCTCACATCCATATAAAATATTTGATCTCACATCTATATAAAATATTTGATATAACAATTTTTTATCATAAAAAAGTTTTTTTTTTAAAAAAAAATTGACTTTGATAATTACCCAGAAAACATTCATGACCGTCCATAATTCTGCCAATCGAATCTCACCGCCAGATCGAATGGGCCACACTGCATCATAAAAACAAATCATGCACCCAGATGCCACGCGAGTTAACGGCCATGATGTTGCTACTCATGGGGATTTGACGAAGCGCCGAAACATGATCAACAAAACACTCTCACTCACTCACTCACTCACTGCTTCAAATCCCGATCAGGAATCTTTGTGCGGTACACAGAGACGCTGAGAGAAAATTCAGAGAAGAATTGCTCAGTTTCTCACTTCTCAAGAGTACAGCTTCTGTATATTGTGTTGGGTTCATACCCAGATTGGTTTACTGCGAATTTTCTTGGTTTCATTCCCTCAAATAATCATCTCATGGAAGTTCAAGCTCGATTGCAACTGAGAAATTTTAATGAATGAAGTAAGTTCAATTTCTCTCATCGACTGTGTTGATCTACTTTTCTTGGATTTTGGATTGCACTGCATTTGTGGGTCTAACGTACTTCAGAAGAGAAATTTGTATTCTGTTTCTTTTTTCTCAAGTGGGTCTTGCATAATTTTGATGTATATCTCTCATTTGACTGTGTTGATTTGTGTTTCTTGGATTGTGGGTTGCATTGCATTTGTGGGTCTAATGTACTTCAGAAGAGAAATTTGTATTCTGTTTCTTTTTTCTCAAGTGGGTCTTGCATAATTTTGATGTATATCTCTCATTTGACTGTGTTGATTTATGTTTCTTGGATTGTGGGTTGCATTGCATTTGTGGGTCTAATGTACTTCAGTAGAGAAATTTGTATCCTGTTTCTTTTCTCTCAAGTGGGTCTTACATAATTTTGATGTGTATCTTTCATTTGACTGTGTTGATTTATGTTTCTTGGATTGTTGGTTGCATTGCATTTGTGGGTGTAATGTACTTCAGAAGAGAAATTTGTATTCTGTTTCTTTTTTCTTTAGTGGGTCTTTCATAATTTTGATGTCTGTGTACTTCATTTGGATTGACTTTTGATTTCATTTGGTTTTCTCTGATGGGTATTGTTAGAAATTTGTATTCTGTTCTTGTTTTTTTATTTCTTTCCTCAAGTGGGTCTTTCATAATTTTGTTGTCTATGAACTTCATTTGGATTGACTTTTGATGTCATTCGGTTTAAAGCCTTTAAACTCTGTTAGGTTTTCTCTGATGGGTATTTGTTTTAAATGTAATGTTGTTGAACTATTTTTTTTTTGGAATATTTAGAGGCCTATTTTCAATCAGAATGACACCTTTATAAATCTATTGGTTTGATAAATATGCACCTACTGGGAGTGAAATCCTTGATTTGAAATTTAAAAGAAGAAGAAGAAGAAGAAGAAGAAGAAGAAGAAAGAAAATTGAAATTGAATTAATCCATGTAGTGTAGATGGGATGAGTTGATTTGGTTTGTTTGACAATCCTTTGAAATGAGGACATCTCAGATTTCAGCCTCTCCTTATACGGGGTGAGGTGACCCTATCCAAACCCCACAGGTGACCCTATCCAAACCCCACAGTGGCAGGAGCCTTGTGCACTGAGGGTTATACTTATAAATCTCATTTATATTATGCGTAGAGAAATATCTTGATATCTTACTACCAACTTGTGTGTTATTTGAATGTCACTTGAACCAGAATAGATCTATTTTCTGCAATTCTTTTATAAAGCTCAAGCCTACTTGATTAGCATCCCTTCATATCAACCATATAAATTTTAAATCAAAGGCTGCTAGGTCAGAATTTGAACATGAGGTCCATTTATTGTAGTCAAAATTGGCTGAAGCGTTCTGTGACCCATGAATATACTTGCATAATTATTTTATGATTTGCTTTGGAAATAATTTCTTCAGCAAACTAATTCTATCTATCTGAAACAGAAAGACATTGTGAATCCTCTAGGAAATCATGCAATGCCCTGAAGTTTATTGTCCTACTTTCTGAGTTAATCTCCTTCTGGAATGCCACATGGCGATGATTCCACTATCATTCACAATACACTCCCATTTTGTCAACTGTGGAGCCACTGAATCATCCAAGTTGATAGCTGCCACCCATTGTATTTATGGAAAAAGAGTGGCACACAGCTTAAAGAAAATGGACACACAAAGAAACCTAGTTCGCGGAGACGTTAAAAAAATTGCCAGGAAAGAATCTTTTCAGAATCCTAAATTGAAAGTATTTGCTACATCTATATCACACATTTCTGTTGTTAAAAATGAAGAAAGATCTTCTGCTTATCTATTTAGGACAGAAATTGGCAATCAGGTTAAGGTACTTGTTAGAAATAAAAATCTCAAATACAGCGTGTATGTTGAAGTTTCATCCTTGGAATTACATAGTAGTGAGGATAATCCGGTAATGAGTTGGGGTATATTCAGATCCAACTCAAAACATTTTATGCCTTTGGATTTTCAAAGTTCAACTCCAGATTCCAAATTGAGGACCATTGAAACCCCATTTGTGCAAAAATCTCTAGGCACGTTTGCAATTGAGTTGGATTTTGAAGGGAGTTTAGCACCCTTCTATCTCTCATTTCTGCTTAAGTTTCCTCTAAATGGTGATTCAAAAAGATCAGATATCAGAAGCCATAGGAAGACAAATTTTTGTGTTCCGGTTGGTCTTGGTTCAGGGTATCCCGCTCCTTTGGGTCTTTCATTTTCAGCTGATGGTTCTATGAATTTTGCCCTTTTCTCACGAAGTGCGGAAGTTGTGATTCTGTGTCTGTATGATGAAACCAATGCAGAGCAACCCGCATTAGAGGTTGATCTGGATCCATATGTCAATAGATCTGGTGACATTTGGCATGCCTCAATGGACAGGGACAGTACACTGACGTTTGTCAGCTATGGCTATCGATGCAAGAGCGACAAATTTCAGACTGAGCAAGTTCTTTTGGATCCATATGCCAAGATCATTGGGAATGCTCGATCAGGTTTGCTCGTGAAAAGTCTTGGGAAATTAATCAAGGAACCTACTTTCGATTGGAGTGGTGATGTTCGTCCTTGTGTACCGATGGAGAAACTAGTGGTTTATCGGGTAAACGTGACACGTTTTACGAAGCACAAGTCCAGTGGATTACCCAATGATGTTGGGGGGACCTTCTCTGGCATCACTGAGAAGTTGCAACACTTCAAAGATCTTGGGGTGAATGCTATCTTATTGGAACCAGTGTTCCCTTTTGATGAGGAAAAAGGCCCTTATTTCCCGTATCATTTCTTTTCACCAGCGAACCTATATGGACCTTCCAATGACGCTTTAGCCACTATTAAGTCAATGAAAGGGATGGTGAAGATGTTACATGCCAATGGTATAGAGGTTCTTCTAGATGTGGTTTTCACTCACACCGCTGAGGGTAGTGCATTGAGAGAAATCGATAACTCATCCTATTATTGTGTCAGCGGAGATGAAGATATAGGAACCGAAAATGCTTTGAATTGTAATTTCCCTATCGTCCAACAGATGATTTTAGATAGTCTTCGTTATTGGGTGGTTGAGTTTCGCATTGATGGCTTTTGTTTCATCAATTCTTCATCACTGTTGAAAGGGTTTCATGGCGAATTCCTGTCTCGCCCTCCTTTGGTTGAATCAATTGCTTTTGACCCATTACTCTCAAATGCCAAAATCATTGCGGATTCTTGGGACCCACTTGGCATGGCACCGAAGGAAACCCTTTTCCCTCATTGGAAGAGATGGGCAGAAATAAATACGAAATTTTGTGACGAGGTGAGAAATTTTTTGAGGGCTGAGGGGCTTATTAGTAACCTTGCAACAAGGCTTTGTGGGAGCGGGGATATGTTTTTGAAAGGGAGAGGACCGGCATTCTCTTTCAATTTCATTGCTAGAAACTTTGGACTTCCTCTTGTGGATTTGGTCAGCTTTAGCAGCGATGAGCTAGATTCAGAATTAAGTTGGAATTGCGGGGAAGAGGGCCCTACCAATAATACTGCCGTCCTAGAAAGGCGTCTTAAACAAATCCGGAACTTTCTCTTCATCTTGTTTGTTTCATTGGGTGTTCCTGTCCTTTACATGGGCGATGAATGTGGCCAGTCTTCTGGTGGTTCCCCTGCATATGATGACAGAAAACCGTTCGATTGGAATGCTTTAAAAACTGGATTTGGGATTCAAACAACAAAATTCATTTCATTTTTGAGTTCACTGAGAAGGAGGCGAAGCGATCTTCTTCAGAAGAGGAGTTTCTTGAGAGAAGAGAATATTGATTGGCATGGAAATGACCAGTCTCAGCCAAAATGGGAAGACCCGTCATGTAGATTTTTAGCCATGACATTGAAAGTTGGCGAGGAGGAGAGTGACTCAGGTTCTTTTTCCAGTTTGAATGGTGACTTGTTTGTTGCTTTCAATGCTTCCGTTCACTCAGAGAGCGTTATTTTGCCCCCACCTCCGGCAGAGATGGCATGGCTACGATTGGTTGACACGGCCCTACCTTTTCCTGGGTTCTTTTCCGAAGATGGTGAACCTGTCATTGAGCAGATGGCTGGATTAGTCACCTATGAGATGAAGTCTCACAGTTGTGTTCTGTTTGAAGCCAGGAGGCCAAGTGGTTGAAACATTTTCCCTTGCTTTCCGGGAAAAAAGAAATGAAGAAAGAAAAGAAAACCATCACTTGAGGTATTTGTTGTTGCATACTTGTATAATATAATCTTCTGATAAAGATCAGGGCGTATGGCAAATAAGAATGTCTGTTGGGTACTAATAAGTGTAGTAAGACCATGTAATTATTCATTCTTCTTTCAATAAGAGCTTTTGCATATCTTGATTGTAATGATTATATCCATCAATTTCACTTTTCTGTTTCTTTGAAAGTTGTTTTTCCATTCCAATTATGTAAATAGTTGTAGTTTCTGTTTCTACCATGCAGCATTTATTTTTACCAAATGCAGGCAGTTTTGAATCAAAATTTCCAGTACTCAAAGTAGCTTTAAATTTATTTCACAAACTAAGGCTGTTTCATGAAATTATGACTTCTAAATTTAAAGATGTGTTTTAAAATTATGATTGAACAAATCATTATTCAAAAAATAAAGAATTTTATCTTCATATTTGAACAAATCATTATTCAAAATAGGAGATTTACACATTCATTATTCCGCCATTTTTTCTCAATCAAAAGTCATGAATCAAAAAACATAAATAATTACTCTTTTAACTTTTAAATAATTAATTTTTTTTCTTCAATTTATTTAAGTGTTTTCTACCTTGCAGAATTTTTTTTATCAACTACCATATAAAAATTAAAAGTAGAAATTGCACCAAACATTAATAGAAATTTCCTAAACTATGGAGTTAAAAATACTTGTTTTTCACTTGTAACCACACCTCTAGATATGCAAAAACATTCCCTTTTTGTTATTGTTCCTCCACACATGCCCAAGATTATAAAAAAGAAATATACTCTTAAGATTTAATAAGTTTTTCCAATCACAAAGGAGGTAAGTCACACAAGAGGAAACACAAGTCAATTGACCTTCTAAGCACAAATGTGACACACGAGTGAATCATATACAAATCAACCCTTTAATTATTACAAAGAAACATTACATCTCACATACTTTAAATACAAATATCTCACTTTTACATCATATCCAAATACAAACATCTTATTTTACATCACCCCCACTATTTTATTACACATACATTTCAAATCCCAACCTTGAGGGATATTGAATGTGCAAATTACCAAATACATCATCAGCTCATCCCAACTTTGAGAGATTGACAAGTGCAAACAAATATAATGTATGATTTGGTTTTCAGAAATTTATTTTAATTTTTTTTAAAAAAGGTAAAAATGAATTTACTGAAAGAAATAAAAATAATAATAAACATTTATCATTCTTACATAATTTAATTTTTTCAAAGGCCAGTAATATATATTTTTTTAAAATTTAAAAATATTTTTTTAATATTTATTTTTATCAAATTAATTTTCATTTTTTTCTAAAAAACAAAAAAAACAAGGCCGAAAGCATTTTATATAAACAGATTTCTAAGACCCTGTTTAAAATTTCAGTGCCAACTTAAAAAGGTTACAGAATCACCTAATCTATTCCACAATTTCCACTTTACAAAACAGTTTCAAGCAAAGCTGTATTTACAAAGAGCACAGAGGCTCCAAAAACCATACACCAATTCTTTCTCTCTTTTTGATCTGTGCTTTAATTAAAGTGGGACCTAACTGATAACTAAACATAAGTCTATATATCCCTAACCTCATGCAATACAAAATTTTGTACCTTAAAAATGCTACTTTCCATGCTTAAAAATTGTCTGAGAAAATTCATAACTCATTTTTGATAATCAATTCAGCAGCTGCACCCATTGCACCGATGCCACTAATGCCGAGCAGTGCAAGAGCCAGTTCTGCCTCATTCAACTTTACCAATCCTTTGCTCACTCTGTTCAATACATCAACATCCACCTCGAGCATCCACATCGGTGTACATCCCACCATCAAGCTCACAAACCCCGACACGTAGGCCCGCCACGTCACGCTATCACAACCGAGTGATATTTTCCCATTGAGCGCGCTGGCTAGGAATTCTAAATGGGCCCCAAGAACAATTCGCCGATACTTAGATGCTGGTGATGATGAGTCCACTCCCCAAGCAAATGCCCCCGAAAGCACTGCAAAGTATGCAAGAGCACAACCTCTTAGCATAGGAACCATCCCACTGGATTCCCCCCCATCGGTCTCTGTCTGATGAACCGATATAAACCAAGATGGCAAAGTTTCCTTGATTAAAGATTGAACCAAACTTAATCCACCGGTTATCCAAACTAACGAAGCTCCTAGGGCAGCGGCAAGCTTGACACGCACCATCGCTGCGGCGAGTGACACCTGACCATATCTCATCCCATACTTTGCTTTCTTCAACTTATCCATTTTCTCTGTAGGTAACCCACAACTTGCAATATCTTTAACAGAACGCATTAGAAGGGAAACGATTTCCTCTGTCATGAACATGAGGTTTTTGACAGACCGGTGAACTCGTAAGTAGAGTATTCCGGGGGCAACCGGAGAAATCCCACCGGAGAAATGAGACCCAAATCCATGACCTAGAAGGGCACCCACACCACCGTTGCTCAAGCTGGGAGTGGAATTTAGGCCAAGTGTGCATGTGAAGCAGAGTCTTAGGAGCTGATCTACTGTGTCGCTATTGTGGTGGAAGACAGTACGGGATGCAGAGAAAATAAGAAAGTCGCTCCAACGTTTTACTTTCTGAGCCCACAAGGAGGCTATGATGGGCAAACACGGCCAAGGGCAACTAGATGCAAGGGTATCCAAAGCCGGGCCAATCAGAAATAGCAAACGTTCGGTGGTCCTGTCTAATTTATAGGTTATTGTGAGGCTTACAATGGCAGCCAAAGGTAAAGGCAGCGTAGCTGGAGAGCTTCCACCTGCAACAAAACAAGTTTTACCTCTAATTCAATAAATACAAGAACAAGCAAGGTTTCAAATCTCATCCGTTACATAACGTATCACACATTACGTAACAGATTTTGGAGTTCCGATACCGTTGATAGATAGGTTGATATTGTCCGATATCAGCCAATCTATGACCATATCACCGATACCGATATATATATTCCAATTTTCTACAGTATATGTAAGCAGCCATGTTTCCAGCTTCAACTAGCTGTGATTTTTCCTGTGTAAATATAAAATCTCTAAAATATTTAATTGAAAAGAACTGTTTGAAGTTTTTGTTCTCTTTTCGTCCAAAAATATTTTGAGGGTTGAGGGTGTCAAAAATAGTAACTATTACAAGACGATACCTGCAGCCAGACTTGGGACATCAACACCAGTGCACGCTAAGATTTTTTTTATCTGTTGCTCAACGATGGCTAAATTTGCAGCAGGGCTTGGCCAATCAGTACCATTCATAGAAGCAGGCTTCCAAATACCCCGAGTTACTTCAGCTGAAAAGTAACTTACAATAGTAGCCATGGATGCAGGAAGAAAATCAGCAAGATCTTTGAGACCTGAGACAGAAACAGGCAATAAGATTTTTAGCAACATGTAAACACCAGTGTATAACTCACATAAGTTGGATGAGGTTAGAGCAGAAAATTACTTGTTAGACAAAGTAGGCTAAACAACACAAACTTCTAGGGAAAAAAAGTTTTATTTTACAGTGAGCAGACTCTGTTGCAGGCATACTCATCAGGCAGCTAGCCTGAGTAGTACTACTCATCGACCCTAAAAGGCGAAGCCAAAAAAAAACTTTTTGTGTGTGTGCATCTTATTCATAGTAACCATACCTCTCGCAGTTTGAACGAGTATAAAGTTTTTTGTTGGCAGACTGTAAAAAGCAGTTTACAATCTATTGTATGCATTACAATGTTTCTGGTGAAGACATTTGAAGGCCAAAAAAAAAAAACATGTCACGCATACATATGAAGGCCAGAATGAACCTGAGGGATCTAGCTTGGACCTATGACCTATAAATGACACTGACATTATTAAAATGATCGCGCAAGTAGAATATTGTTATGTAATCAAGATAATAAATTGGACTAACCCGTCGCCAGTTCACGAGGAGACAATCTTCCATGGGCACAGGCTGTCAAAGCAGCATCTAGCACGAAGGGGACAGCTTCAAGAATGTCCCAAGCAGGTAATTTAAGTCGAAGGGAGGCATCTTCCGACACAGACCCAGATGAGTTACTACTTCCAGAAGTCGTAGAAGTCGTGGGATGACCACCTCTATTTACTTTTCTGAACATCATGTTCAAGAGCCCTTCCACAATCTGATGAACAGAGCTGCCTTGTAGAAGACCAGAGAGGGTTGAAGCAATGCATTCTTGATTCTTCCGGTGCCAGCGTTTTAATTTTGGAAAAGCATCCATGAATAATGGTTCTGTCGAATATGGACTTGAAAATTTTGACAGTCTCTTGCTTTTATGTTGATCCTTAGGTGTGATTGTGTATGATGCTAACTGTGAGTTGCGCACCAATAATAGGTATTCTGGAGTGAGTTGGGATCCCACAGGAGCAACATCTCCTTTAACATGTTCAAGAGGTGGACGATCAAACCTCCATAGCTTCAGCAGCAGAGTAAATGCATTGGAGAACACAGCATGGGAAGAAATTTCTTCCCCTGTTGCAAGAGTGCAAGAGACCTTGGGTGCACATGATCCAAAGACCTCACAGATGGGCATTAATGTGCCGGCAAGTTGAGGAACCTGGAGTGGCAATTAAACAACATCAGATCAATGCCGAAGTGAAGGCAGAATTCCTTTCATATCTCTATGCTTTCGGTTCCATTTTGGGCTTTGATACATCTCATAACTTCCATGAGAAAATGTACATGTAATCAATTTTTCACTCCTTAAATGAGAGGCACATTTCTTGTATAGTTTCTTTTTGTGCACAACTGTCAAATAATTTTGTCCAATTCCTTTCACATATCGTAAGGAATGAAACTTCCTACTCTATTCGTAAAAAAACACAAGGAAAATGTATTTTATTAAATTCTTTGCATACCTTGACTATGAGGAAAAAAACATCACCTACTACTGGTCTTCAAAAATTATGTAGTCTTTTAAACAAATAGCCTAGATAAAAATTCAGAAGAAATCACGGTTAATGAAGTTCAACCTACCACGCCATGTAAGGAAAAAATCTGAACACAATCAGCAGACGATATTCCAACAAGAAGAACATTCAGAAATGGAGCATAGCCTATCAAATGGCTCTCATTCCCAGAACAATTTGCAGGAACTGGAGGTGACAGCAATTTTATAATCAAAAGAACAGTATGTTCCTGCAAACATAGACAAAAATACACTTTAAATAAAAGGGGAAAAGAGAAGTGACTGCAAATAAACAAGATGGTGATTGAGTAGTCTACTGTAACATGATACTTCAGGATGATTACAACAGTATTCATTACACTACCTGTATATTCCAACCACGTATCAAGGACGCCCCACAGAGAATTGTAGCAGCAGATATCTTCTCATCATCTGAACCATTGACAGCAATCTCATATATTTTCTCTATTTCTGCTAAGCTTTCATTAAATCCAAAAGCTAAAATTCAGTTCCCATACAACTAGTCAATATCCAAAGAAAAAAAAACAGCATCTGATATACTTGGCTTCAGCAAAGAAAAGGTTTTTTCTGAAGACCAGGCTACAGTTTCTTTTTCTTTTTTTAAAAGGAAATGTTATGGTTTTTTCAACAAAATGAACACATCATGAACATGGTGCTATGCCCTTTTCAATGCAAATGTAGATATGAATAGGACATAGTACATTATTCCGCAGATGGTAATTCACCATGACAAAAAATGAATGCAATACGAAGTTAGTAATATGCCACTCACACCACAAATAGAAACTACAAGTGCATAAAATAAGATTCTGCATGACATCAGTTCCAACCAAAATACCTCCAGTTACATGAAAAGGGCTTTATTGGATTATCTTTTTCCTGAACCGTCCTGCTATGGAACTATTAAGGTGGAACTAACATATAGTTGGGAACCGAAATGAAATGGGATTGTTGGACCAGTCAGCAGAAATAGACCTAATGGACAGGAAAATTTCTTGAACTAAAATTCCATCAATCAAATAATTGTGCAGATAACCAATCAAATGAATTTTAAGGTCCTCCAGGATTGGAATCAAAAGGAAATGTCTCTTTGAGAATGGGTACTGAGATAGGTTAACCAGGGTAAAGAAACCTAGGTCAAAAGTCAAAAATCTTTAGAAATTACAAGTGTCAGCATACCTTGAAGCTGGAGTTGAAACCAACGCATTTACCATTGGAGGTGATAGAGGGGACCCCTTCATCAATGATGACCAACCGGGTATTTGACCAGAAACACTACGAGTTATTTGGTTGCTGCGGCCTTTTACATAGCTAGGCCATAAATACGCAGATGTGTCCAAAAGATTTCTGGCAATACATGCCTCAACAATCAGATGCCTCATGTTTCCAGCTGCAAAGTGAATTTAAACTACTTAGAAGTTTCTAGAGATTGAAAATGAATATCCACACCCAATAGAAAATAGAAAACATAGCTTAACCAAGCTTCAGCTAGGCACACACACATGTTGAGCCAAAAACAAAGAAAAAACAAAACGGATGAATATGCAGGTAAAATAAAATAGTGATATTCTAAGACAGAAGCAGCTGAAGTGAACTGAGAAAATAATGAATGGAAAATTGAAAAATGAATTCAAGAACAAGTAAAAATTATTCTAAACGGAACTATCCTTTTTTTCTTTTTCTTTTTTAATTTTTGTGTTTTGTGCTACCACCAAATGAAAAGTTGGAAAACAACAGTGATGTGAAAGCAACACCACTTTGCAAAGCCAACATTATCAATTAATTATAAAAAGTTAATTGCCCATTCAATTCCTTTCGAAAACCCATAAATGTAAGGTCCAATTGCATGAAAGAAGTTTAAGAGGCTCTAAATCAAGGAGACTTATATGACGAGAAAATCTCATGTAGCAACATGCAAGGATTGCCCTCATAGAGGGCCCACGTAGGAGTTGGATGGAATCAGTTTGTAAGAGCAACTCCAACACCACTCCCTTTTCTTTCTCCAAATTTAGCTAAAAAGCAAGTTCTCTACTCTAGAGGGCCACTTTTTGAACTAGCATATCTAAGAATGATCTCTATTCTTTCTCTATTCCATTTAAATATTCTTTCTTCTTAATTTAAAATGTAAAAATCTAATTACTTGATTTAACATGGTCGTAAATTTTTTTTAAGAAAATGCTTTTATAGTTTTGGGGATTTAGAGAGCTATTGTAAAAATTCCCCAAAATAGGGAACCAAAGCTGCTGGAACGCTTTTTTGAAGTGGAGCTTGATTTTTGAAGAGAAGCACTCCAAGATAGCTAAAAAATGGGTTTAAGGGAGGCCGTTGGAGATGCTCTAAGAGCCTGATGTACATTGTTGGATCCATTCCCTAACACCTTAACATGGTATCAAAACTTTAAGAACTTCAATTCCAGGAAGTCATAATGAAGGATAATTGAAACTCACAACAATTCACTGGCATGTCATTCAAGCTCACCCCGTCAAGGTATCCACTCCCAACTGTTATGCCTGAAAGAAACATCATTGCTTTGGCAGCAGCCTGGTTGGCTACTGAAATTACGGGTAAAGGCGGAGTCAACAAACTTTCAAAATCATTCAATTGCTGTAGGCTGGAAATTAAATCCCTGCGACGCTTTCCTGAAACATGTTTCTCTTTCCTTTGACTGGTGGCACCACACTCAGCTTCTTTAATCAAGGCAGTTTCCTCCTCCTCAATAATATTCAAAATTGCAAGTATTGTAATAGACAATAACATGCACAAGCCCGTATCTAGACGAGGTACAGGACCTTCACTGGGATCCCTATCCTAAAAAGAACCAAGAAAAGAGAGGAATAATAAGGAATGTGAGCACAAATTTCTAAACACTTGGATTGCATGAGTCTCACATTATGAAAAACAGAAAATCTAAATCAGGCATCACATGACTAGAATCTAGTCACAAGTATATAGAAAAATTAGAACGGAATCATTTCAAGCCAATCCTTGCATGAATCTTTCATGACATGCAGTTTAATTTATAACTCCCACACGATCTCAGTAGACACATATGAAGTAAGTAGACAAGATCCTTTGGCATATGCCAATTTTCCAGTTTTGAAGTATTCCTCATACCATATATAGACGGCCTACTATCAAGGCACTAGTCTTGGTTCATCAAATTTTTTCAATCCTAGTTAAACTCACAATGAAATCAATAAGACCAAGCCAAATTAAACTGAAAGAATACTTAAGAGGTCACAACTAAAACAAATTACTCAGTTTTGCTAAAATTTGAAATATTGTCAAACTTCTTAGTGAAGTGGGAAGTAAAAGCAAACACTTGCCCCTAATGTTCCTAGGAGGTTTTGTGTATCCCATCGTCCAAAAGTATTTGACCTTAAATAAAAGGATTGCTTGAATAAAGTTTTCATGAGTTCTCACCCTCTGAACAAGTCGTAGAGCGGCAATCCATAGGCCAAGAAATGTATCATGCCAAGTAGTTTGATTGACAGCCTGAAGAGCCTTCACTAAACCTGCAGCACTAATATACAAACAATATAGTTCGGGAGAACTAAAGTTGCATCTTCTTTCTTACAAACACATAATTTGAACATGAAGTGCAAGAAATGTCTTATACCAGTAAGAGTTTCAACAGCACTCGTAGCTGTCACTTGTGATCCATCCATAGTATCTTCCAGAAACAGGTCAAAAGGAAGCCAAAGTGCAGATTGACTAGTGCCATGACATTGACCAGCTGAAGATACAAGTGACCCAGATATTACTGCATGAAACTGGTTCTGCAAGCTTGTTTTGCATTCACGGGACAGAACTCTACGTTTATCGGAAGTTAACTGCAGAAGAGCCTCAGGAGTAATATCTTTTGAATTTCTCAATGCTGATGAGTTTGAAGCAAGCAGTTGCACATGCTGAGTGACACATCCCCAGTGTGAGGACCTAAGAGGGGAAAGAGAACAAAGCATGAATTAGCTTCCACCCAATAATGCAATCGCTACTGCAAATCCACTCAAAAATTCAGACTAACCAGACTGTAGTCCAAAAGCTACCAAAGAAATTGTTTCATTTTCACTCACGTAACGACAAATTTAAATTAGCACCAGAAGCTTAAAAGAACAAAAGAATATATATAATTCTTACATGTTTCGACGTGCCAAGTAAAGAATCTTAGAAGTCACTTTATTCTTGAAAAATTCTCCAATTATCTCAACAGCCATTACTGTATTAATTTTGTGCATTCCCTCATGGCGTTCCATTCTATTCTCATTGAAGCTATCATGACTGTCAATTTCCATATCTTGTGTCCCAGTTGGCCACCTAGGCTTCTTTTCTGGTGTAAATTCCAGCAATCCTTCATCATCTAGTGATGCATCAAGTAACTGCCATACAATTGAAAAGATAAATTCAACTACAAGTAGCCCAGGTTCAGATGCCTGAATGGCAAATATCTGGGAAAGATGAAGAACGTCGTCTATTGATCTCATGATCCTGCAAAAACCATAGTAAGTATGTTAATCATTTCATATTCCCACCACTTGATCTAGAACTAAAGAAATCCCCGTTGATCAAAAAAAAGCTGATGAAAAATTGAAGAAAGTCATTTATTAAAAACAAGCAAAGATGACCCTACTGATTAGATGGTGCAGGTGGGTCAGTTACTGAGTATATTACATGATCAAAGAGTCATTCTACCATGAAACAAATTGTTCCTTCAGTCTAATTATGTTAGACAGAATTCCTGACATATTTATTTTCTTCAGCAGTGGTAAGGTTGTGCTGGAGCTTTATGTGCACGTAACTGAACAAACAATAATAATATTCAAATTCTCTTGAAAGTGACTACTCAATATTCAAGCAACCAAAATAAAAAAATTTACCCCATAAAATTTTTACCCATGCAGAATAGGTATTCTCCTTTTGGATGGTGGAGGCAGGATGTATCTCATGAATTTGTTTTGGTCCAGGTGACAGATAACGAGAGGGGGGGGAGGGGGGAGGAACCCAAGATTTTTGTTCAGTGGAGGTAAAATCTTAGCTAGAACTAAAATTTACAAATTGAGTTAATAATAAAAATGTGCTAAACCCTTATTCATTTAATAACTTAAAATTGTTCTATTATTAGTTATTTTGAACTCCATTAAATACTCCAAGTTCAATTCTATGGAGAGTTCTAAACCAACTGTGTTTGGTTTCAATTTTCTAGAAATTGAGTTTTTTGTTTTTCGTATGTTTTTGTTTTTAGTGAATATGTTTTAAATTTTAAATAATTTTTTTATTTTTTTAGATGCACCTTGCTTCTATGTATCTAAAAAATAAATATTTATAAAAAAAATATTTTAAAAAATCAATAAATACACAAGAATACGAAAATGTACTAAATTTTTGCACTTTTTTTTTGTATTTTTGTATTTTTGGTATTTAGTAAATTTTTTAAAGACATATTTCACAAATATTATTCTTTTTAAGTGTATTTATATTAGGTGTACCTAAAAAATTATTAAATTGCTTAAAATATCAAAAAAAATCAGTGAAAAAAAAAAATACGGAAATAAAAAACTTCAATTTTCCGAAAAGTGAATACTGAAAAGTGAAACCAAACAATAACACTTAAAAAAAATGGAAACCAATCCAGCATTTAAAACGTGTTCCTACTATAGTTAAGGAGGAATGGCTATGTAGTAAACATATTTACAGTTATTTTTTAATTGACACAAACATGTTATAGAAACAAGATTTGAACACCATATCATTTTGTCATCATCTTAATCACAAAAATCTGCAATAATGAAAAAAAATGAGTACTGCCACTTTAAAAAAGTTTATAACTGTCGGTTAAAGTAACTTGAATCAAATTGACCAAACATTGTCGATTACACGAAAGATAAAATTTTGACCGTTACTTGCGATGATTTGATTACTGTATTTTACGGAAAAGTCAAATATAATAACCATTATACAGCAAAACTGTTCAATGAAGTTTCTTTTAATTGATTTATTAAATGCATAAACAGAAAAAGAGAAGAAGCAATCAATGATAAGGGATAAAATACCATTCTTGCCACCGCTTTGAGACAAAATCAGTGAAGGCAAATTAGCACCTTCCGGTAAAAACTTGTCAAATCAAAGGTCAAAACAATAATTTTCCTATAGTCCGTCCCCCACTTGTCCTAATGTGTGCCTGCCCTTCGGGCATGGGGAAATGAGATGAAAACCAATGCGTAATGGTCTGAAAGGTTAACCTGGCCCCTAACCTAACCTGACTCAACTGATTAGAAATGACAAAGAATAAACTCAATCCTTCAGCGTAACAAGAGATGCCTTCCATGATGATAGCAGGGCCAACAGAAAGATGATTCGGACTTTCACTGAGTTTTCTATTTGAGACAAATTAGGCCCAACCTTTAGATTATTACATGTCATTTTTCCAGGTAGACTCAAAATCCGTTGTAGCAGTCTTCCCTGACAACAGAGCTCTAATCCATTTTTTTACCAAGTATACACAGATCAATCACACAGCCCATTTAAGACCATGTACTACATGAATGTCAACTGATATTTCTTTTGATACTATTCTTTAATTAAAGACATGAAAATCATATTTTCTGCAACACATATACGTTTGCTTGGCAAGAAATAGCTCATCACTTTTCTTTCCTTAAACATGGAACACATGAATTATGAACAAGTTGAATGAACAGCACCATCTCAAAATAAACTAAGATCAACTACAAAGATAAAGCAACCCTAAGCATTTACATCAACAATTTGCTGGGTAAAACAAGCAGAGATTTTAACTATGGCCGACTGCACGTTTTTGCATTATGTTGAAGCAATGCCAGGGTTCACATCATCAAACCCTTGTTGGGTAGGGAAAAAAAAAAGGAACATACTTTAAATGTCATTCCTTGGTTGCAAGAATCACCACTGGGGATGACGTTTCTGTTCCAGATGTAAGATTTCTAAATGTTTTATGTATATTCAATTGTATTTAATACAAAGCTTACAGCCAATATATATAGCAATCCTAACCCTAATCTGAAATAGAAAATACTGTCAATCTACACAATCAATCGACTAATAACGAAACACAATCAATCTACACAATCAATCTAATATTTCCATAAGTAACATAATGTTCTCACACTCCCACTCAAACTCAAGATGTTTTAGCAGAAAACACTGAGAGTTTGTTAAGAAGAAACTAAAAGCGAGCAATAGTGTGAGTCTTCGTAAAGAAATCAACAAGTTGCAAGACCGAAGAGATGAAAGGAAGCAAAATGGAGCCAGACTGCAGATGCTGGTAAATAAAATAACAATCAATCTCAATGTGCTTCATCCGCTCATGAAAGACAGTGTCATGTGTAATCTGAATAGCAATGCAGTTGTCACAGTAAAGGGAGGTGGGAGAAGACTGAGGCACACTCAAATCAGTCAAGAGACAATATAGCCAAACAATCTCAGCAGTGGCATGAGCCATAGTACGGTACTCAGCCTCGACAGTGGAACCCGTAACAACAATCTGTTTCTTGCTCTTCCAAGAAATCAAGGAATCACCAAGAAACATGCAGAAGCTAGAAGTGGACTTGCGATCAATGACATCACCAGCCCAATCGAATCCGCATAAGCCACCAAGTCCAAAGTGGAAGTTGAAGACAACAGTAAACCCTAAAATATAGTACACCAGAGATAGCGAAGAATCCGAACCAAAAGAGCCCAATGGGTAGAACGAGGAACAAAAACGAACTGACTAACCACATAAACAACATAAGCAAGATCAAGGCGAATAACCGTCAGATAGACTAAGCAACCTACGAGCTCTCAATATAAAGTAGGATCATCTAGAAGAACACAATCAGTAGTTGTGAGCTTCACATTAAGCTCAATGGGGGTATCAGAAATCTTAGTGTCAGTAAGATCGGCACGATGAATAACCTCATTGGTATACTTGGCCTGAGATAGAAAATAGCCCTTGGGACAAAAAGCTACCTCAATACCAAGAAAATATCGTAAGGTACCCAGATCCTTCATTCCAAAGGTGCAGAAAAGATGCCGCTTGATCTCAGAGATAACAAAAAAGTCAGAGCCAATGACGATCATATCATCCATATACAGTAATAAGGCAACAAATCCAACAGAGGTGTGCAGAAGAAATAAAGCAGAGTCCTAAGCACAAGGATGAAACCCAAGCACAATAACAACAATCTGAAAGCGATCATACCAAGCACGATGAGACTACTTCAGACCATACAGAGCATGCCGAAGGCGACAAATCTGTCTAGAGGAATGGTGAAGGCCAAAGGGAGGACGCATGTAAACCTTCTCTGTGAGATGGCCATTAAGAAAAGCGTTCTTAACGTCCACCTGATAAAAAGGCCAAGAATGAACAGCAGCAACAAAGATTAAAATACGGACAATAGTCATCTTGGCAACAGGAGTAAAGGTCTCCACAAAATCAATACCATACTCCTGTGAGAAACCTTTGGCAACCAGACAAGCTTTGTAGCGCTCAAGAGAACCATCAGAATAAATCTTAACTTTGTAGACCCATTTGCAACCAACCAGATTCTTACCAACAAGCAAAGGAACCAACTCTCAAGTACTAGTTTTTTGTAAAGCAGACAACTCATCCTCCATAGCTTGAACCTAATGAGGATCCTGACATGCCTCCTTATAAGACTGAGGTTCTGAAAAAGAATGAATAGCAGACAAAAAAGTACAATAAGAAGCAGAAAAATAAATATTAGACCAACCCAATCTATTTGGAGGATGACGTGCTAAAGTAGGATATCGGTGTGTAGCACGATCAGAGTCGTCAAAAGCAGGAGGATAAGCAGCAAGGGCAAAGACAACCGGTGGAGGAGGAGCCTTGCAACAAGAATAAACTAACGGAAGAGGAGAAAAAATCGAAGGAGAAACTGCTAGAGGTGAAACAGGAGGAGAAAATAGAACAACCTCAGAAGGGACTATGGAAATGTACTCATCAGACGAACCTCAGAAGGAAACGGATCAATATGAACCAAATCCTCTTTGGAAACTGGGGCGGTGAGAGAAGGAAGCTGAAAGTAAGGTAGACGTTTGAGAAAGGCAATATGGAGGGAGATATAAAGGCGACAGGAAACAGAGTCATAACAACGATAACCTTTCTGAGTGAGACTATAACCCAAAAAGACACATAGGACAGACCGGGCACTAAGTTTGGTCCTATCTTTATGAGGTAAAAGGACAAAACAAATAAACCCAAATACACGAAAGAGGGAATAATTAGGAAGTTGAGAAAACAGAGCCTCATAAGGAGATCGACCAGAAAGGAGTGTAGGCATACGGTTGAGAACACCCCAAAACGGAGCCGGAACGGAGGCAAGAGAAAAGGAGACACCTAGCTGTCTCAAGGAGATGACAGTGTTTACGTTCAGCTCGACCATTTTGGGCAGGTGTATCAGTACAAGAAGTTTGGTGAATGGTATCTAATTTGGCCAAATATTCACAGAATTCAATTTTAAAGTATTCCCCGCCTAAGTCAGACCGCAACAATTTAATAGTAGACCCAAACTGTGTAGTAACCATAGACTAGAAAGTACGGTATATCTGGTAGAAGTCAGACTTATGAGTCATAAGATAAACCCAAGTGTAACGGGTGTAGTCATTAACAAATGACACATAGTATGCAAAACCCTGTTTGGTGAGAACAGGATAAGGGCCCTAAACATCAGTATGAACTAAAGAAAATGGTGTATCAGATATAAAAGTAATTTTATGAAAAGGTAAGACTGCCATTTTGGCAAGTTTACACCCCTAACATTCAGTAAGTTTACTAGGAGAAACTTTACCCAATATACCAGACTGAGCTAAAGACCGTGAGCAATCAGCAGACAAATGCCTAATCTAGAATGCCACAAGTAGAAAGGACTAGACATAGAATCTAACTGAAAAGAGGAAAAGACAGTCAGAGAGGTTGCCATAGGCAGATGCAAGCTCTCCACCACATAGAGGTCTCCAACTTTATGGTCGGTCCCAATCTGTTGTTTAGACATCCGATTCTACACAGAACAGATAGAAGAAGAAAAGATAACATCAACACCAGATGCATCAAGCTGACTGATAGATAATAAACTGACAGATAACTGAGGAACATAAAGGATAGATGGAATAGACACAACAAACATAGCAGATGGTAGGACAGACCCAACAGATAAAACAGACATACCAGACCCATTAGCAGCATTAACAGTAATAGGAAAGGAAGGAGTAGTACAATTTGAAGTAAGGAGAGATAAGGAGTCATATGATGAGAGACATCAGAGTAAAAAATTCCAAACAGACGAAGAAATATCTGAAGAAGACCCAAACAAATCTGAATGAAGAGAAGAGACAATAGAGGCGGATGGGGATGGTTGGGAGGTAGACAGTATATGCTGAAGCTGACTAATTTGAGCACTCAAGGAAGCCAGGTCAGGATCCGGAGCCGAAGCAGATGCAATACAAGTAGTGGGAGGAGCCTAGAATTAGTTCTGAGACTGCTGAAAAAAAGAGGCAAGCAAACGTCCCTTCTTGGGATAGTGATGCTTCCAATGGCCCCTCTGATGGCAGAAGGCACACTCATCAGAGACCAGAGACATCATAATAACCAGAAAACTAAGGGTTCAAGTGTAATAAACCCTAAATCCAAAACCACAATGTAATAACCAGAAGAGTTTTGGGTCTAAAGTATCATATCAGTAAACTAATATCAAATGGGTCAACTACCAGAGAAGTCGAGACCCAACCTCAGAGAGAGAGAGAGAGAGATTGAGACCCACGAAATTAGAGAACCAAGAAGAGAGTGAAATCGTTACAGAGAAGCATCGCAACTGAATCTTCGTTCTTTCAACCTAGTTGATCCAGATGAAATAGTCAAATGGGTCGAACGAGAAAGACGAAACAACCAGTAACAGAGCTTCCAGAGAACTAGAAGTTCCAACACAGAGAACCAGAGAAGCAGAGTTAATCACGATGGGTCACCCACGTGAGTCAGAGGAGTGACGAAGAGGTTCAAACCAAATGGGTCACTCACGCAAGTCACACATGCGATAAAGAGGTGCGACCCAAATGCGCGAATCAGATGGACCAACCAAAGGCTGAGGTACAATGATTCCAATGCTAGATGAGCCTAATTCCGGCAAGAACCAACAATCAACAACGCTAGGGTTTCATACACGGCTCTGATACCACATAAGATTTCGAAATGTTTTCTGTATATTCCATTGTATTTAATACAAAGCTTACAGCCAATATAACTAGCAATCCTAACCCTAATCTGAAATAGGAAATACTGTCAATCTACACAATCAATCGACTAATAAGGAAATACAATCAATTTAATATTTCCATAAGTAACATAATATTCTCACACCAAAATCATCCTTGCCCCTGTTTCTTGCAACTAAGTGCATTTAATGCATGATATGCAATTCCCTCTTGTTTGTTTAATCCAAGGTTTTAAAAAGCGGCCGCAACCGTTACGTAACGGTTGTGGTAGTTACCGCCACCCGTTACGGCCGCTTTTGCAGTGTGATTGAGATTCACAGGTGTGTCGGCCGTAGCGACTGTCGTAGCAATCGTAACGGTGCCGTAACAGCCGTAACAGCTGTAACAGCCTATTATGCACCGTTACGTAACGGTTTCAAACTGCTTCTTCGAAAAAACACACAAAAAAAAAAACTGAAAATGGGGGAAGAGGGATAGGGAGAAGAGAGAAGATAAAGAGAAAAGATGGAGCAGTAAGAGATAGAGAGAGAGAGAAGAGGGAAGATGAAGAACATGTTATTGATTTGTTGAAACTGTAAGACCTATGCTATTCTATTCAGCTGCTATCACTCAACCATTTTGTTTGTGTGTGTCTATCTATATATTATTTGAAAAAAAAATAAATGTGTCTATCTATATATTATTTGAAAAAAAAATAATAATAATAATTATAATAAGTGTGGTCATTATCTATTTGGTTGTTTGGTTAAAATATATATATATATATATATATAATTCGGCTTTTATTTATTCTCTTACTTTTGTCATTGTTTATCTTATATATAATAGTGATTGATTTTTTGTATAATATAAAGTCATTAATTATTAAAATAAAATGTAAAAAACTCAGTTTATAGTGATTTAAAAATATGAAATATATTGGATCATACTTAAAAATTTACAAAAGTTGATCAATATTTATTTTAAATCCAATAAATATGATCATGGAAAAAAATATGCGTATCGATAAGTTTTTTTCAAATTGTGCAAAAAATAAAAAATTCACGGTTCCGGTTACCGCAACCGTTACGTTACGGCCTTTACACTCCGCAACCGCAACCGTGCCACCGCCATCGTTACGGCGACCGCAACCGCTTTTCAGAACCTTGGTTTAATCTTTCTTTTTTTGTTTAATATCCAATCCTATCTTCTCCCTAGGCCTTTATGACATCTCCTTCTCTTCTATCTCCATCTCATTTCGCATAATATCTATTCAAAAAAAATTTCATAATGTTCAAGCTACTCACTCCACAATCTTTTCACATGCTCCTGTATTGCATGGACACCATGCTTTTCATCTTACCCAGCATGGTTTATCTCCTTCATTACTATTCAAATCTAACAGCAGACTGGGCCCAAGTCAGGACTCAAAAGGAAAATCTCCATAACCCCACCCAGATGTTCCATTGTCCAAACAGTCCCCTCTAATTCATTCTCACCCAAACTTCCAGCCCAATGCAAGTTATTCTGGAATGTTTTTATGTTCTTCCACTCCCTTAGCTTTCTACAACAATTCCTGGAAGCACAAAACACCTTAGAAAGGTAGGTGATTCGGATATGATGATTCTCAAATACTGACAGACTACATGCCTTTGCTACGCCCTTTTAATATCATCTCGAATTACTTAATGTGATACAATATTTAGAAAGCATTCCACACTTGGACTTTGTTACAACTGAAATGGATGGCAAAAGATCAAATCCAACCATAATACAATTCAATAAGGCCTTCATGGCGATTATAGATACAACATAATGCACAAGATCATTTAAAAGTTACTGCTAAGCAGTGCTTGCTCACAATGAATAGGTTCTTCCAGAAAATAGTAAAATAAAGAACAAAAAATTGAAACAAAATTTGAGATGTAAATGTCAACAGAAACAAATAAACTAAAATTCAACACTCAAATTGAACTTACTTTTCATAATTTGGACAATTAATTTGAAATGCAAGTGAAAAAGCATGTCTCTTAAGGAGCTCCAAATAAAGTCTGTAAGCCGCAGGATGGGACCGTCGACTTGGAATTACCCTGTAACAAGCAAAGAAATTGTCAATCATAGGCAATATGCAAAGCAATTTCATTCTTTGTGGAAAGCACTATAGGGGAAATGCAAATATGAACTAATTCTCTACAAACTCCAAGGTTAAACAGAAACAAGTGAACTCTTAGTTGACATACCAAGTTGGACCCAAACAGAAAAAGAACAAGAACCAGAACCCAGACTTCAATCCCAAACTTTGGGTCAGCTTTGCAGATCACATTATAATCCAACAAGGTCTGGATGTAATTGATGACCGGTTCTCGATTTAACATCAACCCTCGGTGAATACATGCCGAGTAGATCTACACGAGTGAATCATATAACTCATGGTTGTGCTTTTCATACGATTGGTGAGATGGTATGACGTCCAAATAATTTTGATATACAAATAGTAGTAGCATTGCAATTCATGTCCTACCTAATTATATATCAAGGCACCATGGTAATTTAGAGTCTTACCATATATGACACACATTAAGGCAACATACTCCAAAAATTGGTGACCACTGACCAGAATGGAAGTTATGAGCGTCGGCAGTCAGCATCACAACCATCTCAATTTGAAATTCTTTGTGCAGAATACCGGACCTGCCAAGCCCACTCACACCTGATAGGCGGATGAGAACCACTGGTAACTCATCATTGATCAAACCATATCCAATAATCAGTTCCTCCTTTTGGACACACCAATCACCGAGATATAATATCACTCTCTTTTAGATGATCTAGGAATTCAGTGTTCAAATATTCATCTATCCGATCTGATAGAAGATCTTTGATACTTTTGCCGATCTAATTCTCTACTTCATTTTAGAATTCATTCAACTTTTCAAATACTTCAGACTTACAAACTGAATTCAATGGGCAGCATACATCACTGTGTATCAATCTTAATAGATCAACAGCTCTTTCGCCATGTCCAACAAAAGGTGGCTTGGTCTACTCACTAGAGAAGATTCACAAGTCAAAAAGGGTTCTATAACCAATACACTAATTGTCTATCCTTAACCAACTTATAAATCCTATTCCCACATATATGACCAGGTCTAAGTTGTCACATGCTCTGATATTAGAATCGTACGATTCAATTCAATAGGTAATCGATAGAAACAAGTCGCATGAATCACAAATAGCTATCAATCAATGCTGAATTGGTGAATTGATGAACCAAATCGGTGAATCGTGAATTGATCAATTCACCAAAATTGATTTTTAGCCTCTTTTTCTGATTTTTTATGGTCAGAAAATGAATCACACAACTTTTTTACAGCATTTCAGGTTACTATATGACATTCTTTCACTTTCTCCCTCCTAATTACCCTCAAAGGCACAAACCCGAGAGAGAGAGAGAGAGAGACGAACCTTCTTGCTTACATTTATAAAATGCATTTTTTTTAAGGCATCAAGTAATATTTTTTAAAAGGTTTGGAGATTTAGGTTTCTTAACCCCCTTTGAGGCGAGTGTTTGTCTTTATTTCTTTCTATATTAAGAATGATTGATAAGTAATATCCAAAGGGGAAAGGTAAGTTGGTGATCTTACAAGGGAACGGTGTTAAATTCTTACCTATTAGACCGCGTGCTCAACATTCAAAACAAATTTTCATTGATTTAAGTCTAAATATTTAATATTTAAGTCTGCAAATATATTTTTCTACGTAATTTAGAAAAAAGTGACCGAATCTATACAATTCATGATTCAATCCAATTCATGTTTGATATAAGGCCATTTCAATTCACAATTCAAATCCCCAGTTTGACAATTATGGTCACAAGTAAGAAGAACTTTCATCATTTTGAAGTCTTTTGGGTATTCATGAATTCACACCATGCCCAAATACGATTAATATTGACATTCAAGTTTAACAAATAATATGCTAGAATTAATTAAGCAAGCGTTTAATAGTAAGGCCTCGTTTGGGAACCTTCCATTTTAGCCAAAAAGTCAAAAAATTACTAAATTAGCCAAAAAGCCAACCATCCATACCAAAAAGTCAAAGATTCTCTTTTCTCTTTACTTTTTGCACATCTTTTCGTAAAAAGTTAAAAAGTCAGCCCAAACATACTAATTTTTTTTAGCTCATATTTTAGCCAAATAGCCAAAGAGTTACTAAATTAGCCTATTCCCAAACGAGGCCTAAGGAGCCAATGACTTTCTCAAATACTAATCAAATCTTCCATTGCATAATGAAGAGATAAAAACAATGTTCCTAACTACAACTGTCACATAAATGTCAAATAACAATCTAATGTAGCAACACTTGTTCCATTTCACACGCATAGGGTGACTTTTCCTTTACTCGGTCATTTGTATCTCTACGCAGAATTACCTAGCAATTTAGTTTATGTAAAGAACATATCGAATAACCTTCTAAAGTCTTATCTCTAAAGTAAGCAAGAAACTCTTTCTTTCTTCTTCCGATGTCCTATCTTGCCATAGTGGAAACACTTTCTTTTCTCATTGGCCTCTCGGATTTGGACTTCTGTAGTATTTTAATCAAATGCTTCGCATGAAAACATCTTTAGAAAAAATAAAAAGGAATAATAAGAACATCGAATAAATGATATTGACCTTTTGTGTTATATGGACTCTTCAAGATAAATCAAACACCCGTATCGGACCCAACGCTTGAACAAGGGTGTGAGATATACATCCAATACTTCTCATCAAATAATTCTTATATATTTATTTTCACACTATTATTATATGTATATATATATAAAATAAAATAAAATTGTGTGTGTGTGGATAATCCAAGGTATCTCCTGCCTAGCCTAGCGCAGTCCAATTGGACCCGAGTTAACTTGCATTTGGACAACCAAGAACTAATCCCTAGAAGCCCTGGAGTAGATAACCGAGCAAACCTCCAATGGCCCCTTGGGAGACTCAAACTCGAGACCTTGAATCTTATCCCCAAGTCTTCACTGCTCGGTCAATCCCTTGGAGTTATTATTTTATGTATATATTGTTGTATAATTTCTATAAAATGAGTAAAATAATCTTTGGACACTATATGTTACCTATAATACCATTTTATCTCACATAGTGGATTAAATATATAAAAATATAAATCCCAAGGGGTTGGCCTAGTGGTCAAGGCCTGGAGCCCCAGGGTGTACTCCCTCGAAGATCTTAGGTTCGAAGCTTCCTAGGTACAAACAATTTCTTAGAGCTAGTCCATACGAGCCTATACCCCGGCTTTAATTGGGTCCCCCGCTAATAGGCAGTGAGATTGGTTCTCCAAATTAGTCGATCCAATGAGCTAGATACTGAGTTATCAAAATATATATATATATATATAACCCCACCTTTTTTTTCCAAGTATATGTATGGGTCCAACCTCCAAAATGCACCTGCTTCTGATAGTTGTACCGCAGTCATTGTAACATAGTTGCCCGTGTTTATGGATGCCATGTTACTCTCATGTGTTTCATTTTAATATGGATCAAGTACGAGAATTGAAATTTATTGTGAATTCTTGTTTCATTGCTATTGAAAAGTTTATATAAGCTCATAGCACATTCATTTATTTTATCAAGAGCAAACAAATGGGGATAAATATGTCCACAAAAAGTAATTTATTTTGGGCTTCGGCCACAAAGTTAAATGTGGTTTTGACTGTGTGTATCAAACCATTGAGTATTGAATTGATTGGATTATCGAATTAATTGAATTTATCGAATCAACTAGCCAGCCACCATAAAATTATCATGTTTATTGAGTTATCATACAACAAATCCCTAAAGCTTTAACTTGTATGGTTATCAAACTAGTTTTATTTAGATTGTTTTTTACATAAAATGACAACATAAGTGCATGAATTTCTTATATGTGGTTATGATCAAAATGTTTAACTCTTGAACGAATAATTACTTCTTTCAGAACGGTTTATAAAAATCACTACTATTTTCTTAACCAGGTTGGATCATTCATCCTTCAGGAGAATTTACATGTAAGTCATTTGTTGACAAAATTATTGATAAACCGAGTGTGCCTTCTTTCTCCCTCACTAAAAAAAATGGGGAAATTGTTTATGCCTCTCAAAATTAAATTTCTATTATGTGGTCGTTGGCTCATGGGAGTATTATGACTAACAATACCTTTCAAAAAAGATGGCCCAATCATTGTCTTTGTCATCAATGGAGCATCATGTGTAAGAGAGATGAGGAATCTTTGAATCACCTTTTCTTACATTGTCCATCGCGTTGAGTTTGTGGCACCATCTCTTTCTTTTGGTAGAGTTATTGTGGGTGGCTCCCATGTCCAGTATTCACATGCTTTTAATTGATTTCTAGGTATTTTTTTATTAGGAATTGATTTATGGGGTTTTAGTGGCAAGAAAAGGGCAAAAGCGTTGTGGCTTAGCGTGGTATATGCAATTTTTTTGCGTCATTTGACTGGAAAGAAAAGCAAGGAATTTTGAAGACAAATTTGGGGACTTGGATTCTACGTGGGATAAAGTTCGTAGTTTGCCATCTTTTTGGCCATCTATGTCCCCTCCATTTAAAGGCGCTCTGCATTTTTTGGTCACTAGAGATTGGATGGCCGTTTGTGACACATAGTTTCTTATCTTTGTTTAGTTTTGTTTGATGTGACTTCAGTTCTTCATGTTTGATCTTTGACGACTCCTTGTCCTTTATTGTATTTTATTTTCTTTTCTTCAATAAAATTCATGGTGTTGCCGATAAAATAAAATAAAATAAAAAATCTCCACCATTAAACCTTACATATTGAAATCTCTTTCTATAGTTGATATGACTAGTTGTGGTTGTAGATAGTTACTGACAGAGCTGTGCAGCCAATTTCATCTTCTATTTTACAGATGAATAGAAATAGTAGTTGCGGGAGTTATTCTCAAGGTGGAGTGCTAAGAGTAAACTTTAATTTGAATTACCTTGTCGAGAAATTAGTTATTATGAAACTGGAGAACTCTAATTTATTTCGATGGTGACAAATGAATTTTTTTGATAATTGTGAACTTTAAATATAGAATGATCTGGCATATTACACTCACTCACCTAATTTGAATTTATGAACTGTTGTTTGAGACTTTAGTTATCCCAAGGGGTTGGCTTAGTGGTCAAGGCCTGGGCTTGAGGGTGTGTACTCCCTCCATGGTCTCAGGATTAAGGCAGTCCATACCGGACTTTGTCCCGGCTTTAATTAGCCCCCACTAATGGACGGTGAGATTAGTCCTCAGATTAGTCAGTCCATTGAGCTGGACACTAAGTTATAAAAAAATATATATATATGTTCATATTTTCTCTTAATTGTCTTGATTATTGTGAAAATGAGATTGAGCACATACCTTCCCAAAAGCCTTGCACACTAGTGGGGCTAAGCCCCCATGTGTGTGCCGTTGTCAAATACCAAACCCTAATTGGGTAAGGGCGTGACAGGTCACCCATAAAAATAATAATAAGTACCAAGTAGTTTTATTTCCATTTCCTCTTCCTTTCCCTTTCTCTCTGAACAGATCTAAAATAGCATTAATAGTAGATGATTCCATGTAACACATGTTAAAGACGACGACGACCACAACAACAACAAAAAGGTTCAAATATCTCTGTTTGGTTTCATTTTCAATCTGTTTTCCAAATCTTTTTGAAAATAAAAACAAAAAAATTAATCTGACAAAAATAAACACACGCAAAAAAATATATTTTTTAATTATTTCCACCTCAAAAAAGATAAAACCAAACGAAAATTATGATTTTTTGTTAGTAGGTTTTTTACACCAAATTAGCTGTTAGCTTTTTTTTTTTGGAAAGTTTTTTTTTCCTAGATAAAACCAAATTAATTGGACAACAAAACTAGTGTATGTCATTCCTTCAAAAATCAAAGAAGAATGTGTATATAAATAGAAATCATTAGATATAAATTAACTGATAAAGAGAAAATAAGAACGAATACCTAGTAGAAAGAAGAGCGAGAACGAGCATCGGAGGCACGATTTTCATGGTCAAGGCCTTGTCGAGAAACTTCCAGGTAATCGGAGCGTTATTGTCCCAACAAATGTGAGAAACGAGAAAGCTGGCGAGGTCGGTGGAGGGCATGGAAACTCCGGCGGAGTTAAGGATGGTGGAGAGCTGAATCGCCCAATTCGAGGGATCGCTGCCCTTGTCCTGAGCCGACTTCGTCAGTTCCAAAACACCGTCCCATACACTCTTCTCTACGATCACCGCCATCGCAACAATCTCCGATCAGATTTCTACGAATCTTTCATTCTCAGAGAGAGAGAGAGAGAGGGATTTGAGAGGACGGGCTCACCTTTTTCCAGTGTCTCTGCTTTTTGACTCAAAAAAAAAAAAAAACACAGAGTCCTCCCCATCAGGCTGGAGGCCTCGTTATTATTTATGAAAAAAATTAAGTTAATTGAGTAACATTAATTACAGTATATGTTTGTATTAGTTTTATAGGAAATAAAATTGACGAGGAGAAGATTAATGATTTATATAAAATTGATTTGAACACGTAATTTATATTATTTCATTAATTTGATTTTTTTGTAAAAATTATATATTTAATGAATTGTTAAAGGGCGGTGATTGAGGGCCCGAAAGCCGTGCCCCGAATTGCCCGAAATTTCCATTTCAGGTAAAAAAAAAAAAAAAAAACCAATCATTTTCCATTGTTAAATACGAACGATTTAAATTATTAAGGCACTGTTTGGAAAGTAAGATTTGAAGTTTTTTTTTGTTATTTTAACCATAAAAAATAAAATAGATTATTTTAGTCACAATAAATAAAACATCACATCTAACCCATAATTATTACACTCTTCTCTCACAAAAAAGTTAAAAAACCAAAAAATCCTTCCCAAACTAAGCTTTTTAGTCCATGACTAAAATAGCTAAAAAAGTCAAAAAGTTAAAAAGCTAACCCACTTCCCAAACCAAGTCTAAAATGAACTTAAAAATTAAATTTATCGAGCCAAGCTAGACAATTATGTCCAATTACATACGGGAGACAGTCTAATCTAAAAATAAAATAAAAAATTCTTGCAAAAGGTGGGGGTATATATTCGAACCATATTTTATTTTGATTTTGAATATATTTGAAAGATAATATAAGTTATTAAAAGCAATAATGTGAATTAATTATTAATTAATTGAGTAATGGATAAGGATTTGATAAGATTTTGAGAATGAAAAAGATGGCACTAGTCGCAGTCGCCGTAGCGTTTTGCCAATCTCCCTTGAACTGTGTCGTCGGAATCTTCCACTCACATGCACGCGCAAAATGAATAAATTATATTCGCTCTGTCTGATTTTAGTTTTTAAAATTTATTATTCAAATTTTTTTGTTTTTCATTTTTTTTTTGTTTTTATTGATTTTTTTTAATATTTTCAATAATATTTTAAAAATTTTAAACACATTTAAAAAGTATAATATAAAAATTTTAAAAATTCACTAAATACCAAAAATATAAAAATTCAGTACATTTTTCATAGTTATGTGTATTTATTAATTTTTAAAAATATTTTTCACAAATATTTTACTATTTAGATACATCTAAATAAGGTATATCTAAAAAAGTAAAAAAATTACTTAAAATTTTAAAAATATTCACTAAAAAAAATTATACGAAAAATAAAAAAACTGAATTTCCAAGAAAACTAAATTTAGAAAATTAAAACCAAACACGTTGATTATTAAGCAAAATATCATTTTGCTTGTCAAATTAATACTTAAAAATAAAATAAAAAAATTATGATTAAATGTCTGGATTAATTTACGCAAACCTCTAAGGGTATAAATGGTTCAATTCGGTTGGTATTGAAAGTATATTTAGTACCGAACCGATTTTTTCGTTTTTTATGATTGAGAAACCAATACAGACCGTATGCTACAATTTTATCAGTTTTGTCGGTTTGATATAGAAGATAAATTTACATGAAATTTTAAAAGGTCTTATAGTAGACTATAGAATTTTACATTGAAAATAATTGAAGAAAATATATGAAAATTGCTCTATAAATATTTTTCTTCATAATTTTTATCACACAAGTGTATTATATTATTTGCTTCTCATATAATATTCAATAAATTATAATATAAAATTTTTAAATATAATATCCTGTCGATTCGGTTTGGATCGGTATAAAAAGTTTCAAAATTTAAACAGACCATATGTTATGAAAAACAGACAAAAAATTAAGATTTCGATCGATTTCTATCGGTCAAATCAGTTTTATTGATTTTTCTTTCATCCCTGCATATCTCGACTAATTCCAAGATTCATACAAAAACGCTCCCTTCGCGTCGATCGAACACGCAAATGTTGATAGCACACAGTAAGAAATAAACTTGAGATATCAAGAGAGCACACTCGCACACTCAATTATACCCACTAAGCTAACCACTTAAGGTTTAAATTCTTATTTTTTTAATAATGTCATTTTTCTTAAAAATTAATTAAAATATTTAAAAATTTGGCTAAAAGCCAACAAATATAAATTCAAAATTCAATAATTATTTTAAAAAATTATGAAATCAATGAGAACGATTGCTATTGTTGAAATAATTTTGAATTATGGAAACAATGCGCAAGCATATTAATCACTATTATAATCTATCAATCATGCACTAATTAAATAAATATATAATTGTTGATATCGGTTCAAGATGATGGAAATTCTAACATATGCACTCTTGAAAATAGTGAATCATATATTTTTTAATTATTTTATTTTATTCTTTAGTCATGATAAAAAAAATTAATTATGATATTATTTTAATTTTAATTTATGAATTTTTTAGTTATATTTTTTTAATTATAATTTAAAAATATAAAATTATTTTATTTTATTTTATAATTATAAAATACATATGATACGTATATTTAGAAGAGGTGTACCATAGTGTTTCCCCAGGATTATATACTCTACAATGACCAATCATACACTAATAAATAAACTTGCTGTTGCTGATATAACATTATCCGTGAAAGAATACAATTCTTTGGGACAGGTTCCTCTTTAGTTTGAGAACGGATTAAAGATGTTGTTGGATTTGTTAGGATTTATCACAATTATTTTTTAATATTTTGAATTATTCGATGTGTAAAAATCATCGGCTACTTAATTTTTATAAAAAAATCACGTTAATCGAATATCAATAGACACTTTATCAAATTATATTGCTGTAAACAGTAAATATGATTTAAAAAATATTTGTTGATAGAAATATAATTAAATCAAGTAGTTATTGATATCTGATCAATATGATTTTTTATAAAAATAAAATACTTGACGAGTTTTATACATTCAATGGTCCAAAATATCGAAATAGAATTTGTGATAACTCTCAAAAACCTAAATAACATAATCCAATCCACTTGACTATGTGAACGGGAAAGAATAGGATTCGCAATTCATTTCATCCTTCATGTGTGGCGTGGCATGTATCACATCAAAGAATAAATGTTTGAGTTAATTATTAAGAGTCTGTTTGGTAACTATTCCGTTTTTAATTTTCAGTTTATATTTATAAAAATTTTAAAAATTGTCATAAAAGCTTGTTTGATAATTTTTTTGATTTATAAATGAGCGTCTCAGTTTATAAATTTGAGGAAAAAACATAAACTCAAAAAATGAGTTTACGTTGATTTTTAAAGAGAAATTTAAAATTTTGATTAACATTTTTTTTTTCAAATAATTTTTTTCCAATTAATTTTTTTTCCCAAATTAATTTTTTTTTTCAATTACTTTTTTAAATTTTTTTTTTCAATTATAATGCGTGTGATCCCATTGTCATAAATAATAAAAAAAAATATACAAATATTTTAGGCCTAAACAAACATATTTTTTAATTAATGTTTTTAAAAAAATTTAAATATTTTATTCAAGCCAAACACGTTTGTAATTTATGTTTTTCTAAAAATAAACAAAAATCAATTTATAAAATTTTATAAACATAAAAAAAAAAAAAAAACACGTAACTTTATCAAATGCTACCTAAGCATCTCCAACGGTGTACCAAATATTTCACCAAATCTATGTAAAAAATGGGTCATTTCCTTAATTTGATACTTCGCGCTCCAACGGTTCAACATCAAATCCGTTTCATCAAATTTGCGCTGGGCAACCGGTTGGTTGACCGGACGGTCGACCGGCCGGTCAACCGGTAATGGCAAAAAAAAATTTTTTTTTTTTTTTTTTTCCCGTTTTAACCTTTTTTTTTGGGCGATTTGGTGAAACCGTTGGAGCGTGAAAAAGTGAGTTTTTCATCAAAATTTAAATCTGATGCTGGGTTTGGTTCACCGTTGGAGATGGTATACTTTTGATTTTTTCACTTTCAACTATAACCGTGAAGCTGTGAAGTTGAGGGTGGTCTTGTCAAGTTGGAAGGAGGTTTTCGATGAAATTAGAGGGTTAGTGATAGCAAATACGGGGCTATCCCAGGCCCTGTGTTCTCCAACTGTTGCTCGGGTCTCTTTGTTCTTTTTATTTTCCTTTGTCTGTTTTTCTTTTCCGTTGTACCATATGTGACATAAATCACATTTGAAATAAATATTTTAGTTTATTATACTTGGCATTATATAATTATAAAATGATTCATTCCCTAATTTAGTATTTATAATTTCACCATCAATAATATGGAATTAGGAAATATGAGAGGGGGTGTGAAACTACTTCGGCTTTGTTTGAGATGTGAGTCTAGGCAAAAAAGTCGATTTAGGTTGATTTTTTTGACTTTTTTAACTTTCGTGAAATAAAAAAATGAAATAATTATTATTTAGATATGATATTTTATCCTATTAACTTTTTAGTTTGTTTTAATTTTTTATGACTACTTTAACTAAAAAACCTCATTTTAGCCTATGTCAAACGTGAGTTTCGCATGGGTTTTAGCCACGTTATTGGGATAGAATTGAGAGGCCTCAATTAAGGGAATGTAATCAGACTCTATATATTTTTATCAAAATCTTCATTTAGCCTCTCAATTTTCAATTGTGACAATCAACCTATTATGTTTTCAAGTCAAGTTATAATATTATTCTATTCATTTATCAATAATGTGGATAACGGAAATAAAAACGGATATATCACAGTAAGATTTTGATGAATAATCCAAATCTTCTAGAGTGAGTCTTTGTAGATTGATATTTGAATATTTTTTTGCATAGTTGAGATTTTTTTTAAGGGTAAATTACATTAACACCTTCAAAAATTTATGTTTATTATAGTTCCCTCCTCACCTTTTGAAAATTACATTCTCTCCATGAGGTTTAAAATTTTATTATAAATTGCTCCCTTCAACAATTTAATTTTTTTAAATACCAATTTTGCCCTCACTGGGTAAATTACATTGACACTCC